TGTTGCCTGATACTTGAGCTCCCCGGAGGCAGTGTGAGGGGAGGAGTGGCCTCTCAGCCTGTGGCTTTGTACTTATGTACAGGTTGGGGGCCCCCTACTTCCTCCCCAAGGCTAGAGACAGTGTGAGGTGCTTAGACCAGTTTCCCTTCCTCCAGGGGTATTAGGCTGTGATTATTTTCCCCACCCACAAGAGCCTTGCCCACTCAACCCTCCTCGACACTAGAGTCCCCTGGTGAGCTTTTGTAAAATAGGGGTGTCTGGGCCCCATCCCAGATTTGTTTAGGGATGGGACCTGGACACTGGGATTGTTTAAAATCTCCCAGGAGACTCTCATTTGCAGCCGAGATAGAGAACCCCAGCATTTGAGGCTGGAGATATGCTGGGCAGCTATGGGTTGTCAAGGCCCAGGGGCCACCCGATGTTTAGAAAACAGCTCTATTGAGAAAACTGTGCACTGCCTTCCCATAAGCCAGGCTCCTCCATCCCCGCCACACCACCGCCCCCAGGGCCTGCCCCAGAGTGGACTTAGAAACCTGGCTCTGGACAGCTTGGAGTGTTCTCGGGACAGAACTGAGCTATCCCCAGCACGACGGGATTAGGTGGTGGGGAGCCAGCCCTGGAGGTGCCTGAAACCACCCCAAGGGTTGGCCTCCAGGCACAGCCTCTTGGAGCCCAGTGCCCTTCTGCTTCCTCCCCAGCCCCACAGAGTGTAGCATGACAGTCAGGTGCTCCAGTGCCCTGTTGGGCAGAGTCCTGTCAGACTGGGATCCTGGGCCTCCCTGGCACCAGGCCTCCCTCTTGGCCTGTGCCCCAGTCCCACTCCAGCCCAGCTATATGGACCTCCTGGGCCTCCAGTGCTCCTGGCCTGCTGAGAGAAGACTGACCAATTCCATTGTCCGGGACTTGACATGCTTGGGGCTAGGACCCGCCCTCTGTAGCTTGCCTGTCTGTGTCTTTGTCTCTCCCTGAGCAAAGTCCCCTGAAAGGTCTGCTGAACCAAGGGATGGCCCAGGGCCTGTGATCTGGGGGACCCTGGAGGCTGCTGGCCCCTGGGAGGAGACCCTGAGGGGCAGCTGTTGTGGCAGGGCTTTGAGGATCCTAGGAAAAGGCCCCTGGTCCTCCAGCAGCCATCAGCCCACCCCTGTCTCCAGGCCTCAGGGCACAGCCCCTGCCACCCAGCCACGGTGGCCTTCATGTGTCTCTCTCCTCTGAAGCAGCCCTGCGGCTCTCATCTGACTTGACTTGGAAAAGAATTGCTTTGGGGTGAGAGGGGTCAAGGGAGTGGGCCCTGGCCCTATGCCCAGGCTCATGCCAGTGGGGCACTTCGAACCCATGCCCGTCAATGGACTACAAAAGCTTGAGGAGAGGGTCTAGTGATGGGGGCTGGGGAGCAGCCTGAGACTGTCCTGTGTATTCATAGGGAGCAGTGAGGGAGGAAGCCTCCCCTGCAGCCCCACTCGGTCTGCTGAGTCTGCTCTACTCACTAGTAAGGCAGAGTAGTGTCCCTACCCCTATTTTCTGGTGATGTGACCAGCCTAGGGTCACGGCTGGAGGAAGGCCAGAACTTTGGTCTCCCGGGCCAGGACACACTCCCCAGAGCAGGGACGTTTTCCCCAACTTACTGCGGGTCCAACATAGCAGCAGGGTGTTTCTTATCCCGTTCAGGCCTGACCTGGCAGCCGCACATACCTCCCCGAGGCCAGCCTCTCCTCCACTTCCTCCTGCCCTTGTGCTGCGGGCTGAGACCAGCACGGGCCTGAGCCTTGTCTGCCACTTTTTCTGGTGGCCTCCTCCTGAAATCTTCATCTTTTCAAGCCCAGCAGCAAGTCCGGCCAGCAACCCACTGAGGGGCCCAGCACTCACCCTGGGGCTTCTGCTGCCCAGGAGAAGCCTGTTCCAACAGCTGCATGGTAGCTCGAGGACCAGGAAGTTCTCTGCTACTGCCCGGGGGGCTCTGAGAGCACTCACAGCAGAATGAGTGAGGCAGAGCCACTTCCTGTCTCTCCAGCAGACCAGGAGGCACTTGCCAGGCCTTCCCTGTGAGGACAGGGGCCTGGGAAGGCTTCAGGGGCTAAAGCCATGAAGGTACGGTGCTCCAGCCTGGCAGCCATAGGGAGGTTCATCCCTTAGCATCTCCGGCTCTTTCAGGACGGGGGACACCCTGCTGGGCCGGTCCAATGCAGAGGTACAGGCCAGCAGAGGTTGGGAGAACTTGTTTATTCAAGGCACAATCATAGCATTAATAACGAGAAGTTTCGGCATTCTGGCACATTCCTTTAGTGGTGGTGGCCAAGGGAAGTCCACACCGCGCACCGGGGTCCCCAGAGGATGCAATGCTGCTGATAGGCACTTTGCTTCCAGAAGCATCTGAGGAAGAGGCAGGCAGGCATGGAGCTACTCCAGGCCCAGTGGGGCATTTCTTAGAGGCTCTAGGCAATCCTGGGTTCCCTCGGAGGCAGCCCCCTCCAGAAAGAATCAAGTCTGAGAGGTGGTGCTTGGGTGGAAGGATGGAGAAGGGCAGCTGGGAAGTGGGCTGTGGGGTGGGGTGAGATAGTGATGGGTGGAGGCCAAGGGTGGGCCGAGAGGGCAGGCCAGAGGGGAGGTGCCTGGAGAGGGCCTGGATGTGATGCGTAGGCCCTAAGGAGCCAGAGCACGCCCATCCCACCCTCACACTGACTGTGGAGGCTGAGCGGCTGTGTGTGTGTCAGGGTGGGGCCGAGGGTGCTGGCCAGTTGCCCTGGGTCTCCAGGAAGTGTCGAGAAGTGAATGGATTCTGGAACTTCCCCAACATTTGCACCACCTTCTCTCAGAACCAGCTGCACTTGGCCCAAATGCAGAGGGGGAAACCCCCAGCCATGCTGCCATGTAATCTGCTGGGACCCTTCCATATGCAGCATCCATACACTGCCAGGTGGGCAGGGGGAAGACAGAAGAGGGACAGTGGCAGAAGCGGCAGGAATAACCCAGCAGGGGCTGCAGGGTTGGGGGGCAGGCGCCCAGCAAGCAGTGCCCGGTGAACGTGAGCCTGCAGGCCAGCTTCTGGCAGCAAAGCCACACGCACACCAAATACACCTTCTGGGGACCGGAGGGCCTGGAGCTGGCCACCTCCCATGGCATGGGCAGATCTCCCTGTTGGGAAAGGCCCCTTCTCCTTGTTGGCTGGTGAAATGCTAGGAGGGGACCCTGAGGGGCCTGGGTTCAGGAGGGACTGGATGGGTATAATTTCCTCCTTATTCCTAGCCGGACAAGGAGTGGGAGAGACTGCCGACTCCCCGGCTGACCCAAGCTCTCTGGAAAGATCCTTCATGCCAAGTCTGGGCCAAGCCCCGGGGGTATGGCAATGTTTGTCTCTTGAGCGCTATTTCTCCTCTGGTGAAGCCTGGAGCTTCTACAGCTGAGATGTGGGCACAGGTGGAAGAGGGACAAGACGCAGGTGGTCTGAGTTCAGGGCCGCCCGTGTGCCTGGGAGGTGGTGGGAAATGCCCGGGGGAGGCGAGCTTGGGGCCTCCTTTTGGCAGGTTGGCCACATGGACCCAGATCTTTGCAGGAAGGAACTCAGGAGAGTTCCAGACCACGTAGACCCCGCTCAGCTTAGCTCCTTTTGGTCCCTGAGGCCTCAGCTGGCCCCTGTCTGTATCCTAACATGCTGCACTGCCTGGTGGTCCTGATGGGGGCCTGTCCCCAGAGGCAGAGGTCTGTACCCCCGACTGTGGCAAAGGGGACGGGTGTCACCAGCATTGTTCCTACTCAGGATTTGGTTCCTCCAGGTCTCGGGTGGTGGCAGCTCTGGGAAGGAGGCCTCCACCAGATAAAGGCTTCTCTATGGAGGACACAGCCCCACTCCCACTCCATCCCCAGCAGGGTATGGGCAGTGTCTGGGCCAGGACCATATTGGAGGCCATTTGAGTGGTCTTCAGTCCAGCATGCAGGTGGCCCCAAGAGAGGAAGGGTCCTACTCAGAGGCCAGGGAATGGCCGTCGCCTTCCGTTTGAAGCATGGACTTCTCACCCCAAGCTGCTGCCCACCTTGGTTATGCTGGGGGCTCAGGCACTCAGTTTGGTATGAGGCAGGAGCAGCTCTCAGTGGCCACATCCTTGACCTTGAGGGTCCTCTCATTAGGCCTGGGGCTTGGGGAAGCTGTATCTGGTTTCCCATAACCCAGTATTTTGGGACAGCACCCCTCTCCATGAATTCTGCATCTGCCCCTCCCACCTTATAGTAACCAGCCAAGGTTGCCTTCATCAAAATGCACACAGGTCCCGTTTAATGAGCCCCGAGTGATCGTGTCCCAGCTGCCCTTGTGAGAATAGAAAGGATAAGGGTCTCCACCCTGCTGCTCCTGGGGATGTCTGCTGAGGGGCAGAGGAATAGGACAGGTCTCCACTGCCTCCCCTCAGGTCTATGGTCTCAGCTGCCGCATGCCCCAGGTGCGTGCAGAAACTTCTCTTTACAGATCCCCACGCTGGGGATGTCGTTGATGAGGCTTAGCACAAATACCTGGGCTTCCTCAGACCGTAGGGGAGGGACTGGAGTAGGGGAGGGGGATGGCGTAGGAGCAGCGGTGGAAGCTCCTTGGCAGGACAGCTGGTGAAAGCGTGGAGAGGACCCTGAAGAGTCTTCGGTGGGTTTCCTTCTGCCTCCTCCCTTATGCACACCTTCTCCATTTCGACCCCAGCAAGGTCCCTTAGCCTGTAGTCTCTGTGCCCAGGGCTTTGGCGGCTGTTCCCAAGACGTGGCACTGCCTGTATCCTCCATCCCATCCCGGGGGCCCTCGGAACTGCCCTCTGCACTGCCCAGCACCTTTCATTCTAGCTGGTCAGCAGGTTTGGGTCTCCATGTGGCCAACACCCAGGGCGCAGGTGTCTCTGTTGGGGCCTTCCCAGAGTCTGCGGGAGGTAGTGGGGAGGTCCGGGTGGCCCTCCTGCCTCCCCCCTACTCGCCGGGCCCTCCCCTGGCCGCTGCTCCCGCTGGAGTCGCCAGGTGGAGGCCTCTGGTCCTGGTCAGTGGTACTGGCTCTGGCCCTCCAGTTCCAGCCCGTCCTGGAACTGAGCGGAACCCAGCTCCCTCGCAAAGCCCCTCACACCGCTCTCCTCTTCTCCCTCCTCAGGCTGTCTGTTCATGGTGCCGTAGGTCTGCCGAGCAGGGGAGGAGGCAGGGGACAGGTTCATCTCCGGCTCCTGCAGCACAGTAGCCACGTACAGCTGCTTGGGACAGAGAGGGGAGAAAAAGCTAAGGTCACATCTGGGGCCACGCCCTGCGCACGCCATTGCCCTCAAGCCCTACCCCCAGAGCTTCTGCCTCTCTGGACCCACGAGCCAGAGCCACGAGCCACGGATCCTTTCTTCTGCCCCAGCAGCCCGGGGCCTGGCCATCCCCACCTGCTGAGGGGCCCTTAACCATTTAATGAGCAATTATAACTCAGAGGGTGAGTTAGTGCAGGCCTCCTAGCTCCCAGCCTACTGCTCCTCCAGTGCAGCCCCATTCATTGTTGGTTCCAGGTCAGGCTGACCCCGGAGAGAGAGGATGCGAGGCTCCCCTCTGCTGGGGTCTGGAGAGACCCCATGCCTGGGCTAGCGCACTTTCCAATACAGCTTACGAGGCATGTCCATACCCGCCGTGGCGCGGATCATCGGCTGGCCCAGGAATCAGGATTTGGAACAAATTGCTATCTGAGGTCTTACAAACTGTGTCTGTGAAACCCAGGAATGGTCCCAGAAATGCACAGGAGGGCAGCAGAATAGAAAAACAGGAAGTACTAGGGACAGAGCTGTTTGTCATCCTTAGAAGTGGCTTTTAAACCAACTCCTTATTTTGAAAACAGGTAATTATGGGACAGAATTAAACCTTTCCTGTGTATTCATTTCAGTGAAACCAAAACACCCTGATGGATTGTTCCGTAGGAAGAATCTAGATACTTGTATAATGCCAAAGCAAACCCCCTGTAAACCTTTTGGTCATAAGGGGTAAGATGGTAACTGAACAATGGAAGAGGCCAGCTGTGATCCTCCTAACCTGGGAGTAACCAGTGTCATAAGTGGGAATAAATGGGATGTTACGCGTCTCCTGGTGTGGTGCACGGCACCACCTAGAATGTGTTTTAGCCCCTAAGGCTGAATTTGAACCTGTCCAGCCTTTGGATCTAACTAGTTTTCAGGAAATACAGGAGACTGTAAAACCCATTATAAGACATCAGGAAGAAATACCCAGAAATATCCAGAAGGTGGGATATTCTGCAGGATAACTGGCTTGGAGTCTCTGACAAGTCACAAGAAAGAGCCTGGGCTAAAATACGAGAGATGTGCACAGGCACCAGATTAATCTAGCACAGAGATCGGATTGGATCTTGATTTGGACATGTTGTAAAAGATATTTCTGGAACGCTTGGGACAATTTGAATATGGACTGGGTCTTGGAAGATACAGAAATGTATATATATGGAAAGATGGAGCTTGTTAACTAAAAATGCAGATTATAAGAGTATGTACAGTATTATTTCAGTTTAGCAAAATTTATACATATACTTGGAAGAATATTTGCTAAATTATCAGCAGTCATCTCTGGGTGATGGGAATATGAACTTTTTATTTTCTTATTTTTGCTTATCTGTTTTTTGCCCATAATTACCTGCAATGTTCATATGCTACTTGCTTATTATCATGAAAGATTAAAAAAAAATCAATTCCACTAATGTTTTTTAAAGCCCGGGCTTTAGAGTGCGACCGACCTGGTTCAAACTTTGTTCTGTGACTTCCTTGCTCAGGAATGCCCTGGTGTCTAAATTAAACGATCTTTTGAGCCTCAGTCTCCCCATTTATAAAATGAGGGTGAAAACACCTACTATGTGGGTGTATCATAAAGATTAGGAGCGTTAACAGCGAAGTGTCAGGTTCCTAAGAAGACTTCAATAACCGATTGCTAACAATATTCCAGAGGGCTCATCTTGGGAGGACCCCCGAGGGGAGATGCTATGCGAAGCAACTTCCTGTCGCCTCCCAGAGGAAATGTGCCCCTCTGTGCAGTTTTTCCCAGTGTGAGACAGACCTGCAGTTCTGTGCACGGGGGGTGGGCACGTCCACCACTGTTGTGTCTGTGCACTTTTCCCCAACTCTGCCACGACTAAAGAGTCTCCTCTCCCACTGGGCCCTGACACCCACTCTACACTTCCACCAGGCCCAAAACTCTTCAGGTGCTCAAACGCTCCAGATTCTCTCTTCTGGGCCTTTGCACAGGCTGCTCCTCTTCCTCAAATGCCCTTCCCCCACAACCTATTCCACCTAGCAACCCCTTCTCCCATTCCCGGAGTTGGATTAGATGTTCCCTCCTCCGGGAAGCCTTCCCTGAGTGCTCAGGCTCAGGCTGGCTGGTGCCCTTCTTCAGTGCTCCTCCAAGGCACCCTGGCATCGGGGCATGGGACAACCCGGTACCCAGCTCAGTGCGTGCATCGGTGGCCCCACATCTACACCTGTGGCAGGGACATGGGTGAGTGCTCAGGCCCCTCCAGGCTGAGCCACGACGTGGGAGCCAAGGCCCAGCCAGCCAGAGCCCTGCATTCTGAGTCAGCCTTATCTCTTCACAGGCTGATGGGCTCACTCATGTGGCGCCACCCCTGCCTTACCATTCAGCGCGGGCCTCCAATAGCTCCCTGCAGCTCTGCGCAGCTCTGCCTGGCATCTGTGCCCTTGGAGGCAGCCTTCGGTCCTGAGGCCGAGCCCCAGCACGTCCCTGCGTCTACACGACTGAGCTCGCTGTGGCTGGGTTCGCCCTGACCTTTCTCTTCCTCTCTGAGATCCTTTCAGGGTTTGTCTTGCTTCTTCTATCTTCCCAGCTCTTCAGCCAGGGCCATGGCAGCAGTTTGACCTGGGCCAAGTCCTGCTGTGTCAGGGGAGGGCGCCCAGGGCCCCCCCCCCCCCGTCTCCTCCCAACACCCGGGGAGGGCACTAAATGCCAGTGGCCCCCGCCCCTGCTGCTGGAGTAGCCCGCTCCTACAGGTACCCCCCTCCTGACCTGTCCCCCGGGGTGAAGGCACTGACTCACAAGGGAGGTGGGTGTGGAGGTGCTGCTGCTTGGCTCCATGTCAAACACGGTCTCCATCTCCTCCTCGGGCTGCAGCAGTGGGGAGAGATGTGGAGGGTCACACAGTGGGGGTGTCTGCCCTCTGCCCGCTCCCTCCCCGAATCTGCGCCTGGGCCTCTTGCTCCCCCGGAACGCAACTCATCTTCTGTTTTCCATGACCTACAGCCCAGCTGGTAGGGCTGAAGCCCAGGGGGACAGAAAGAGGACCGGGATGCTGGGTGACCCTTCCAGAATATTCCATACCCAAGGACCATAATGGGGTGGGGGGGGAGTAAGGAGAGTTGGCACTGGGGTTCAAAGATGAGCCTGCTTTGACTCTAGTCAAAGCCTTGGCTTCAACGGTCTCTTCTTTCCTCCTGGGGTTTCCCCCTCGATCTTGCGACCAGTCTGAGATCACGGTCTAGGTCCTCTGCCACCTTCCTTCCCTAGAGTGGACACCTGGGCAACCAGATCACACGGCATCGTTGTATCGGGAAGACAGGGCCAGAGGCATCGTCCACTCTGGTTCCTCACTGGCATGGCACTGGAGCCGGGGGTTGGAGGAGGCCGGGTAGAGAGGGTGGTGGGGGTCTGAGTTCAGGGCCCCCAGGTATAAGGTCACTATAGGCAAAAGGATCCTGTTCCAAGAGGCTTGTTCCTCTAACTCAGCAGGATACCAGAACTTTAAATCAACTTACTTTCTTCTCTTTATATAACTTCATTTTAAAAGGATACAATTTACTATTATGAACAGAAAACCTGAGTTAGTTGAAAATAAGCAGAAATATAAGTAAACGTGAGCCAATAGAAAAACGGGTAACCATGAAAAATAACAAATGTTTTGGTCCCTGGAAATCATTCTAGCACACCCGTACTGACACGCCACTCTGGGCACGGACCCTTGTTGGCAGGGTGCTCAGCGGGCAGGGATTGGCTCCCGTCTCTAATGATGAGGCTGACCCCGCTGGCAATGAGCCAAAGGAGTCACAGGCTCCCAGAGAGCCAGGCCTCAACTTCAACAGCCTGGGGCTCCTCAAAGTGTGCTGACTATTCCCCTTCCCTCTTCATCGTCCTTCTCCATGCCCCACGCTCCTGTCCTTCCCCCCATCCTCTCTCTCTCAAGCCTCCATCCTTGGAGTGGCACTCACAGCTCAGTGGCTCGACAGGCTCACATTGTAGGAGGGATGTGCCAGCAGCCCGCTGTTTGGAGGGGGCGGCAGAAGGGAGAGGAGGAGAGGACGGTTGTCTTTTAAAACTCCGCAGAGTGTGGGGGGGCCCGGCACCGGGGCTGGCTCACGGGCACACACCCATGCACGCTGAGCTTGCACACCCCATCATCGGAAAGGCAAGGACCTTTGTCTCTGTGGTGCTGTGGGTGCCCAGGTCAGGAGTAGCCCAGAGCCATGTCCCCAAGGGCCGGGGAGAATGAAGAGAGGAAAGCGAGGGCAACTCACCTCATAGTAAGATACCGTCCGGAGCTTCCCCAGAAGAGTGCTAAGGCAGGCAACTACCATGGAAATAATGAGCGTGGAAAGGGAGAAGAAGGTGATGTTGTGGAGCGAACCTGCCAAGGAGAAGACAAGGCCATGGGGCTCCGTGCTTGAGGATGGGAGCTGTGGGCGGGAGTCTGCCAGCCGAGGTCCTGGGTCACTAGGGGCCACCCCAGCGCCTCTATGGGGGCAGAGAGGCCCCTGCCCCAATTTTCCTCCTAGCAACTGGAGTCAATGAGCCTGACCCATGAGACCAGCTCTCGGTGCCATCTGACCAGTTTAGAATTTGGCATCTTATGGGTTCCATGAAAAAAATTTAATTGCCTTAAGTATCCACTCAAGTGTCCATTAAACACGTCCTTCTCGACCCATCAGCTCACCTCCCACATCACAGTCCCTGGGCAGTATCTCTGAGTTACTCGCTCATGCCACTGCCCACAAATACAACCTCTGACCCACGCCTGTCTTTGTGAGCTCCTGGCGTGCTCAGTTATCTCTGCTAACGGCACAGAAGAGCAATCCAGAATTTAAGTCGCTGACATTTTGCTTAGGGATATTTGGTAACTTTTTTTTTTTTTTTTTTTTTTTTTTTTTTTTTTTTTTTTACCAGTTTTCTACAGAAGTGAAGATTAAAAATCAGTCTTTACAGTCAGAGGCTAACACGTAGTGATGCTTATCATCGTGTTTCTATAACAGCAAAAGTGGCAAAGAGCTTCGGTATCCAACAATGGAGAGCTGACTGAAACGGGTAGAATTTAATGCAGCTGCTCAAAGTCACGTGCTCCAAGAGTATTGCAGTAACGCAGGAAATTGTTCAGCACAGTATGCTGAGCGATGAAAACGTTATAAAACAGAAATCACAATTTTGCAAAGTAAGACTAAACCAGTAAACTCCCTCCTGTTCTGCCCTCTCCCCCAAAATATGCCCAGAGAATGAGGTCTGAGAGCAGCAGACGTCAGGCCCTGGATGAGATTATGGGTCATTCCAATTTTGATAATGTAATCTTTTACAGTTAGGGGAAAAATTATTTAAAAACTGAAGTCCGCTGGGCGGTGGGGAAAGGCTGGGGGATAAGACACTGGGAATGGACAACAAATGGATAATTCACACAAATTTAATTGCCATAAGTATCCGCTCAAGTGCCCATTAAACATGTCCTTCTCGACCCGTCAGCTCAAAATCAGGAACCTGTGATTTCCATTTTATAACGTTCGGGTCCTGTATCCTGAGAGCTGTTTCCAGCTGCCACCTCGACAGGAAGTAAGAAAATACGGACTTTGCCTTCTCTGCTCCACTGAGAGGATTAAGGTCCGGTGTCTCTGAGGACAGGCCAGTGTAGGGAGAAGGCAGGAAATGGTCTGGTGGTGGAGAGGATGGGGATGTCACTGTGAGCTTCCCGTCTCAGGGGACAGGACAGCAGCTTTGTGGAGCCAAGAGCAGGGGAAAAGCTGGTCATTGGGGCACACCCCAAATCCTCCTCCAGCTTTTTGGCAATCTGTAAGACCACGCATCTTCCAGGATCCCAGTGGGGATGCCACAGGAATTGAGCCTGAGAGCTAATATTTTATCCTGCCAGCCTTGAGTTAGAATGAACGAATCTGAGTGGTGCCTGGGTGGCTCAATCAGTTAAGCATCTGATTTCAGCTCAGGTCATGATCTCGTGGTTTGTGAGTTCAAGCCCCGCATCGGGCTCTGTGCTGACGACTCGAAGCCTGGAGCCTGCCTCGGATTCTGTGTCTCCCTCTCTCTCTGCCCCTCCCCTGCTCACGCTCTCTCTCTCTCTTTCTCAAAAATAAATAAACATTAAAAAAAAAAAAAAAAAAAGGAAGAATGAAGGAATGTGAAGTTTCTTGCTCCAGTGGTCATAAACCCAAATGCATACTATTTGGTCTGTGCCAGTCCCAGCCCTCCTCTTACCCTCAAAGGTCTGCTGGGACTCTGATACAAGCCCCTTAAGCCTAGAGAAGCCACCTGGGTGGCTGTAATCCGTGAGCAAGCCTTGCTCCTCCCGGGCCTTTTCTGCTTTAACAGAGCAGAGGTGTTGTTGAGGGCTTTCTGCAGCAGTGGGGAGCAGGAGGAGGCGGGACTGCCCGGCAGGCCTGGTACCTACCTAATCTCAGAATGGAGAAGAACAGCATCCAGAACAGACCCAGGAGTGGTGCGAAAATGGCCTGGTAGACAGCAGCCATGTGGATCTGCTCGTTGAGTTTGGTGGGCGCGTAGGAGTAGTACATGTTGTAGCGGTCCGTGATGTGCTTCATGCACAGGTACAGCAGGCCTGCGGGGCAGGAAGACCGAGGCACATTCAGTGGTGATTCCTCAGCCAGGGCCCTGTGCTGTCCCAAGGCTCCCCAGGCCTGGGAGGCCAGAGTCAGGTCTGGCAGGGCAGTGAGGGCCAAGGACGGGGCGTCGGAGTTCTGTGGTGCCAACTCCTGGGACCATCGGCTTCCCTTGGGCCCCCAGAGCCTATTCTGCCAGTCTGGCGAAGGGTCATTCACTCGAGAAACATCCCACATTTGCAGCTACCCAACCTCCCCTGATCTGGCCCAGGCCCCTCCTCGCTCTGCTGACAGTCTGTCCCAGGTCTCCTCATGCTCCAGAAGGTGGCCTGACCTTGCGGGGCTCAGCTCCTCCGCCCAATACGAGGGTGGGCAGCCCTGGAGGTGTCCGAGGGAAGACTCACCAAAAGGGACAATGATGGGGCAGGTGATGCTGTATGCTACGACCACACTGAAGACGTTCATCATCCACGCGTACTCTCGCCCGTACTGGAAGTCCATGGCGTGGCTCTAGGGCAGAAGGCAGGGGTCACCTGAGGTGGCTCGGTCCCCTCGGCTTGGCTGCTTCTGTGGCTTCTTGTCTATCCCGTGGGAGCCGGAAGGCAGCTCGGGCCTGGAGGCAGGCTCCCTTGCGGCCCCAGGACACCTCGCCTCTCACCTCGAGTCCCTCATGCTTCCAGCAGGCCCCCTTTCCTGACACCCTCCCAAAGGAAACTCTGAAGGCTGTGCTCAGGGAAGGGCCCGGCCCCCACCTTTCTGATGTGGACTCTCTCTGGCTCCGACCTGGAGAAGAAGAGGCGGGTGCTGTACAGGAAGAGTGACCCCAGGCGCAACAGCTCCATGCCCGTGCCAAGCAAAGCTGCCGTGATCACATAGTTGACGAAGAAGGCGCCATTGTCTGGCAGGAACACACACCTGGGAGAGTGGGGGACAGCACAGAAGCCAGAGGGAGAGGGAAAGGGCAGGGATGTCGGAAGAGAGGTAGAGGGTAGGGGTGGGGATGGGGATTATAAGCTTCATATACACATGTGCCCCGGGCCCAATTTAAGTGAATGCGGGGCCTTCTGAGCAGGGATGAGGTTGGTGTACAAGTATGGATGTGTTGGGAAATACATGCAAAACACAATCAAAATCTAAAGCAGGGGTGCTTGACCGGGGTCCACAGACCCCAGAGAGTCTGTGAGTAGAAATTTGGAGGTCCGTGACCTTGAAGAGTGAAAAGAATTACGTCTTTATTGTCACTAACCTCTAACTGCAGTGTAGCATTTCTTCCCATTAAGAGAACGTGGGCAACAAATCACAGCAACGTCAGCTATGGCTGTGACTCTGTCAGTAGTTGACATCAGATATTTTCATATCACGTTGCCGTTGCTAGTGATATATGACAATACTATTTGCACTCACCATCACTTCAAAATAAGGGTAGTTATTAAACAGGCTGCTGAATGACACATGCTAACTTTACGGGATCGACATTTTCCTGTCTGCAGCTGCGTACTTGGCATGGCTGGCCAGCTTCAGCTGGGAGTCATTCAGCCGCCTGAATGAATGGCCGCATTGCCTGTTCTCACGTTGGTGACCCAGGCATCTCTGTGGCTGTCCAGTCGCCCCATCTATACAATTCTGTCCACTTGTTTGAAAAGAGAAATCTGTGAGCTCCCTGGGTATATTTCAGAACTCCTTCAAAAACTATTCTTTCTTGATGGCCTCAAAGTTGAGCCATAGAGCTACTCTCTCATACATAAACTGTATTGAAGATATTGACCTCACCAAAGATGAATATTCATCTCAGGAAAAAAAAAAAAAGTCCAACTTATCACAATTATAGTTTAACTGTAGAAACCTTACAGAATTCTGGTCCTTGCCCTATAAAGCAGGCTGTGAAAGCTTGCGTGTCATTTGCAACATGACATCTTTGAAAATTGGGATTTTCAATATTTTTAACCTGAAAACAACACAAAACAAAATTGAAATTGGCCGGATGTCCAACCTGACCCACATGTTGCTTTGTCAAAGATCCCATCACCTCACCCCAACTTAATGTTCTTCTGCTAGCTAACGGTGTCACACTAATGCCTTTAAAATAATAAAATATGGGGGCGCCTGGGTGGCTCAGTCGGTTAAGCATCCGACTCTTGATTTTGGCTCAGGTCATGGTCTCTCACACTCCGTGAGATCGAGCCCTGCGTCAGGCTCTGTGCTGACAGTGCAGAGTCTGCTTGGGATTCTCTCTCTCCCCATCTCTCAAAATAAATAAGTTAAATTAACAAAAACTAAAACAATAAAATGTAATTTCAGCTTGCTTGTGTTTAAAATCCACTGTCCTGTTAGGAAATGTGTGCATAAAGATTTTATGACAAATTTGACTTTTAAAATATTTTGATAACACCATTTCAGTATAATTGGTTTTCTTTGTGATCCAGGTATTCTGTGCATCTACGGGCATCTATTCAGAGACTATGTAAAACTGGAAAAATCTGAATAAGCTCTGTGGATTGTATCAATGTCAGTTTCCTGGCTGTGATACCGTATTATGGTTATGCAAAATGTTACCAGAGGGGGAAACTGGATAAAGGGTACACAGGACATTGTGGGGGCCATTTCCTGTAAATCTACAATTATTTCCAAAACGTCATTCAGAGAAGGGATCCCAGGGCTTTACCAGATTGCCAAATAGGTCCATGGCCCGGGCTCTCTTAATGACAGCCTGTGTATGCATTCATCTCTACCCATGTGAGCAAATAAAGGACACACATATCTCCCTAGTATGGACCCATGGAAGCCCCAGCATACACTGGGAGTACACCTGTAGCATGCACTCTAGTACTCACTGGAACCGGATGGATGCCTGCTCCAGATAGTAGATGTCAAAGAGCCAGCGGAAAAAGACATTCAAACTAGAAACAAGAACAAGGTAGGTCCTTTAGTCAATGAACCTACGTGCTGAGGCTTGGGGTTCAGTTCCTCTTGGCCTGGCTTCCCTCCTGCTGTCCTCCCTTTCTCAATCCCTAGAGAGACTCTTGCATTCTAATATTCCAGCTGGACAGCCCATACTGCCTCTCTGCCTTTTTCGTGCTGGGCCACCCCTACCCCTAACCCTTTGGCCTCTCATCTCAAGGCCACTTCTAGCAAACTTTCACCAGGTATTTCTCCCACAGTGCTCTCTCCCTCTTCCAAATTTCTACTGCAGGTTGGCTGTGTTTTTTCTACTTTGGGCTCTCAGCTGACAGCCATGGCTCGTCTCCCCAGCTGGATGATAAGCTCTTTGAAGGCAGAGTTGACAGCTGACACCTTAGAGTTCACATGATACCTGGCTCATGCTAGGCTCATGACAGGCACCAGACTGTCCTTTGAGGAATGGATTTGCCGCAAGCACAGGTAGGCCTACAGTATCTGAAACAGGAGGTTCCAACTCTAGGGTGAGCCTGTCTGAGAGAGGAGGGATAATTGGAGGTGAGGTACCTGGTCAGTCCCATAGAGGGCAGAATAACCACCATGAACACCAGAAAGATGTAGCACTTGTTCACTATGATCAGATTCTGACTTGATCTGAAGGGAACAAAGAAATACGAGATAAGAACCAGGGACCTAACTACAGAATGACGGGAAAGACAGAGGCAGCTGCCTGGGCTAGAAAATTGGTTGAACAGTGCATCCAATACCATCCCCACAGAGCGCTGAGAGCTATGCTGCAGCAGGGATGCACTGTGATGTCTGCCTTGGGCACGGGACGGGGAGGAAGGGCACACATGTGCTGTGTGCTTGACACCTTTGTTAGAGGGACATTACCACTGATAATCAGGATCCCCGCAGTTTTAATAATCAACATAAGCCACGTTCTTGGCCAGATAAAAGACCAGTAAGGGTTTCTGTCAGGACAAACCCCCTGGCTTACTGCCTGGTAGGATGGTAGGAGCTTCTGGTGCAGGAAATAACTTTTGAGACCCACACAGCCTTCTGGCAAAAGCCCAGGATGTGGTACATACTTTCTACCCCACCAGCTACCACCATAGAACTATTAGGGCCAAATAGCTCCTATTGTTTAAAATGCTGGCGCTGCACGGCCCGGGGCCACAGGTGTCTACAGTCAGATTGAGTTCATGGGCTTCTCTGCAACTGCCTTCCTGACCTTCTTCAGATGAGTCCTGCTCTTTCCTCCTCCCCCGGTGCCTTCTGTCTGGGGTTCCTAGCACTGTAGCTCTGCCTACAGCTCCATCGCCTCAGTGCATGGCTGGAGGCTGTGGGAGCAGCCCAAGAAGGGCTTGGTTTGGGCCTCACATGCTTGATATGGTGGTCCTATCTCAGGGTCCCTGAGCCCAGAGGCCCAGAGACAACTCAGACCCCTCTCTCAAAAAAAAAGTTAGTCTTTTGGGATGGTTCTGGGTATCAAATCCACCCCTATGTCAATTCCACTCCTTAGGCCAGATGGTTGGTGGGGGAGTGGGCAGGGGAAGGGGCCGGGGCTGAGCAAACAGCAGGGCTGGGAGAGGAGGCCCCCCATCTCACCTGGTCCAGTGGGCCTCTAGGAAGGCAGAGAAGTAGACCATCAGAGGCATTATCACTGTAAATGCCCAGAGCAACAGGGAGGGGAAGAACTGGGTTATGACTGGGCTCTGTAGGGTAGAGCGGAGGAGGGCAGAGACACATTAGTGCAAGAAGCGCCCCTTCCCCTTCCGGGCCACCCCTGCTTCTCCCACACCTCTGGCCTCGTCTTCCCCAGCTTAGTCCCAGAGCAGGCTTGGTTTCCCTGAGGCTGCGCAGAGGACCTGGCCTTCTTCGTCAGCCTTCCTGGCCAGGGGTCCGCCTGGTTGGTGGCAGGCAGAGGCTGACACCCCAAGGTCAAGTTCTGTCTTCAAGGGGCACAGGTGTTCTAGGCTGAGGTCCCTAGAGGGATGGCCTGGGGTTTTCCTGGTGACTCTGCCCGAGGGCCAGAGCCAGCTGCTGTCACTGATATGGCAGAGCTCACAGAGAAGACACTACTTTCCCTGTGATGTCGTGTGAAAGGAGGTATAGAAGTGGGTAAGGTGTGAAGGAAGAATCCCTAGGGTGGTGCTTTGTGGGCCTTCTGTGAGCTTGACAACAGAGGGCAGGAGCAAGCAGCAGCAGGCGTGTGGCCTGTGTGTGCACGTGTTGCTGGAGTAGGGATGGGGATTATATGCAAGTGGAGGCCTTCTAGGCCTGTTATAATGGCCTTGAGGCTATAGGATTTGGAGACGGGCCAGTCCAGTTTCTCTGATGTCCCATGTCAGTATGAAGCATCCTCTAACTTCAGGGGTGGCCCCTCCAGGGCCTACAGCCCCCAGCCTGGAGTGGGTGTGCCTGGCATGAGGGAAATGGAAGTCCTGCTTCTCTTGGATGGCTGCATGGGAGCTGACCTCACACTTCCCCCCCCTCAACCCTACCCTTCAAACCAGGGACCCCAGCTCGAGAGAAAGTGGGGAGTGCAGAGCAGTCACACGTGCCACACCCTTGCACCTGTTGTGCCTCCAGCTAGTCTTGGGTGGCCCAATCTAAAGACTGGACCGCCCATCCCCTGCCCAACTCCCCACCCCAGAACCTGCCTGCAGCACCACCACCCCCTCTTTCCTTCCTTGCCAGCTCCAGTCCCTAAGATAGGCAACGACCTGTGCATTCGTCCCCTTTAGAACAAAGGAAACTCTACACCACCATCTACACAGCCATGGCCACCTCCACAATGGTGGTGGTGCAAGGGCTCTGGAGCCGCGTTCCAGGGGCCCCCCATCCCGTCCTCGCCTGGGTTCTTCCCTCATCTCCCTGGGGCCCCCATGCCTGGCCTGAGCAGAGGTGGCACCTGCAGGTTCTCAATGGGGCGGGTGACGTTGTACATGTCGATGGTGTTGATGATGATGGCAGGCGTGGTGAGGAAGAAGAAGAGGAAGAAGAGGAGGGTGTTGATTACGATAAAGCGGGCCCACCAATGGAAGCGGCGGACGGACAGGTGTTTCCTGGGGAGGGATGGAGGAGGGAGATGCACTTAGGACCTCGGGTCCCAGACATTAGACAGGCCCCACGTGCGGTTTCTTGCACACCAGCTGTAGACCCAGACTGCCCTGGTCTAATTCAGCCCCCTGGGCCCAGACCTGCTTGCAACAGGCCCGGATCCTCCCCTCAGTCACACCTTTTGTAAAGGCACCTGTGGTGGGCTGGGTTTGGGGGGGAGGGCAGAGGCGGTGGTGCTCAGGAGAGGACAGGGCCCTGCCAGCCCAGTGGGAGCCATACGTGGGTAACAGAGTAGGAGAACGGGTCCCGATTCCCTTCCCACCCCTTCTTCAATCTCAGCGAAGCTCAAAGGAACGGGGGAGAGGAGAGCAGTGGAGGGGGGCGCTTACCAAATAATGTCTTTAGGGTGTGGGGCAAGGGCAACCCTCCAGCGGTAGGATTTGACGGTGGTGGACACCGAGGACTGCTGGGGGGACACGCCACACTGGATGTACTTGTAATCTTCCTGGATGCTGCAGAGACGGTGGGGGCGGGGATGGGCAGGAGAGAGAGGTCTGGGTGTGAGGACAACAGACTTAGGAGAGGTCTCATGCCAGGGTCCTAGAGAGATGGACCCCACTTCCTAGGGACTCTTGAAGCCTCAGATATGCCTCTCAGGACATTAGAGGTGGGCAGTTCCTAAAGTCCCTGGAGAAAAGGGGCACAGAGGGAGGGACCACCCCGGAAGGGAGGGGACCACATGGTTCTCAGTTAATGTCCTTCCCCCTTAATAGCAGTGACAGCACAAAGACACGCTCTTTGAGGTTGGTGCCAGAGGTACTAATTTCAGCCTCATCTTAGTATTAATAGCTACCACGTGAGTTCTTTCTGTATGCCTGACACTGAGCTAATGGTTGATGAATATAGCCCCAATTGCACGGCTTACTAAATTGAGGTGCCTGAGACACAACCAAAGAGGGGCAGATGCTGGCCCTGGGTCTTTGGTTTTCTAATTCACATCTCTGCTGTAATTAAACCTCAGATCCTCTCTACCGAATGACAGTGTGTCGGAAAAGAAACAGTGTTGTCTCACGTTGGTATATTGTTTGATATACCATATATACTAAATAGAACACATATCCCTTCGTATCCCTCTGGGAGGTGGACAGGGAAGATATAAGGAACCAAATTTGACAGATAAGAAATTGGAGAGTATAAGCGACTTGCAAAATTGCACACAATTGTATCTGACTAAATTCTAGGCTGTTCCACTGCTCCTTTGTAGGGTATGGGTGAGTGAAGACCAAGTGTTATGTACAACCAGGCTCCCTAAGAGAAAGGAGGGCCCCCACAATCCTCAAGGGACTGATTCTGGGGTTCCCATCTATTTGACCCTGTCCTTAGGATCCTTCCAGAACATTCCAGAGTGCATCTAACCCACTCCCTATCAAGGTAGAGCTGCCAGAGGCTGGGGCAGAGGAGGGAGGAGGCTGTAAGGCTATGAATTAGGGGAGACCTGCAGCAGGAGAGGAGAAAGAGCAAGCAGAGAGTCTCTACTCTGACTCTTTCACCTGTGGTGAGGACAGGGGTAATATGTAATGGGGGAAAAATGGATTCACTCTTGTCAAGGCCTGGAAGAGGAACCAAGATGTCTACTCTTAACACCTCCATGCTGAAGCAAGGACCTAGGGAATGGGGAGCCCAGGGCCTGGGTATCTCTGGAGACAAGCTGAGCCTGGCAGCTGTGGGGAAATGGATGCAGACATGCTCTGGAAAGCAAGATGGCGGCTGCCTGCGGAGAACACAGCGGGCTGGAGGGGCGGTCAGAACATGGCAAACTAGAGGGAGGTTCTCTCTCTTTCCCCCCTTGGCTGGAATGAGGTGAAAGAGGATGGTTTCACAGAAGCAGAAGCCCACTTGCAGGGCTGGGCACAGCAAGCTGCTGGCCCTGGCACTCACTGCTTCGTCATCCTGGAGTCCTGGAAGGTGACAAAGATCAGGTCCAGACGCTTCAGCCGAACGCGGTTGAACTCAGCGTTGAACTCATCAGTCAGCTGCTCCTCCAGCTCACTGTAATATTGTTCTGCATCTACCTGGGGTGAGATTTGGCCCTCAGAGCTGGGGAAGTCAGAGCTCCAGGAAGACCTCACCTGGGCATTGGCCTCTTTCCACTCGAGTGGTGGGCCTGAGGCCTTAGTACTGTTCCCAACCCCCTTCAAAGCCTGGCAAAGAGCTCAGGATCCCATTGGGCTCCAAGATCCCAACTTAAGAACAGGGAGAGGCTGTGACTCTGAAATTAGCTCCTTGCTCTTAGATCTGGGGAAGGTAAGGCACACCTGGGGGTTAGGGGGTGCTTTTGGACTTGGGCTGGACTCTAAAGGAGCATTAGAATGTGTCTGCGGCATTTTTGGAGAAGAGGGATGATTCTTTTTCTGGACTGGCTAGAGTTCGGTCCTACCCTGTGGCCTCCTCCTAGCCACGGTGGTTGGGTAAGAAGATGGAGCCCAGTGCCTTCAAATGTTTCAGTCCTAGCCCTTTGAGAGCCTAAGGCCTGGCACCCTACAGCAGTCTACTGTGTTCTCTCTGGTCCTCCCATCCAAGACTAGAAGTGGGCATGAGCAAGCCTCCCTGGATCACCCAAGAAAGGCTTCAGCTCCTCTACATTCTCAACAGGGAGGCAGGAGGGAGGAGGAGGGAAAAGAAGGGAGGAGCTGGGTGCCACAGCACCAGAGCAGATCTGAATGGGGCCCAAGGGTCCAGAGCCCTGGACAGAGCTGGAGACCCAGTGCCCCAGCCCCTCCTCTGCTGTGTCCCCTGATGCCCGGGCCAGGTACCTCTTTGAAGCAGGTCCAGCACTTGCAGAAGCACAGGTGGGAACAGGGGTGGATCTTGATCATCACCTTCCCATTCTTCTTGGCCTTGGCAGTGTAGTAGAGCCGGCCCCGCATGGCATGGCGTCTGTTGGCCGGTGGGCAGTGGGAGGAGGGACCTTGTGGCTGGGGACCAGCAGAGCCACATCCTCCCCTTGTACCCCCACCCCAGATCCAGACAGACCCCGCTGCAGACTCACCTCTGATCATCCAAATCGATCAGGGTCCTGACGTCATAGCAGAAGTGGACTCTGGTCACCACGCACCCTGGATAGGCCTCACTGTAGCCACAGACATGGATGCTGAACTAGCCTGTGGTGCTGGGGATATGCCATCCTCCCCATACTATCCGCCCCCCGCTCCCCAGAACTATAGCCCACAGGGCTGAGTGGCTCAGCTGTCTGTGGTCCCTGGTTCTTAGATGGGGGACACCATTACTCGTTCCTAAGGTCAAATTTCAGAGTTGATCCCTGGTCATCTAAGATTTGCCACATCCTTCCCATATGGTCCAGAATAGAGCCAGGTGGGGGCAGACCTAGAAATTGCTGCCCACGAGAAATAATTATCTCCTGGGGCTAGGACCTTGGGTCACGAAAGATGCTCCAAGATGACCTACTCTAGATAACTGGTCCAGGAGCTTGCCAGGCATTTGGTTGCAGCAGCAAGGGAAGGGAAATTTACACCCACCACACGTATGCCATGCGGGAAATCCCTTGACTTCAGAAAGCCTGCTCTGGCCACAGGGCCTCCCCCTTTCTGGAAAGCTAATCCTGAGCCAAGCCCAGGATGAGCTATCACCTGGGGTGTCTCTCTCGCTCCACCATCCTATGCCAGCTTACTATCCACATGAAGAATCAGGCAAGGTTACCGGGAAGAGGCAATCCATGCTTCAGTCCACTTGACCGACTTACTGAAAATGCTTAATGATGATTTCTGGGTCTTGGATGTCCGTGGGGACATAGGTGATCATTAGTGTCCTGGTGACCTAAGTGGGGAAGGCAAATGGAGAGAGAAGAGTGTGTTTACACAGGACTCCTGGATGTCTGGATGTCTGCGTGGCCCAGAACTGTCTGGAACAGGCTTGCTACTCGACCAGGCTGCCCTTTTGCTGGGGAAGCTCAGTGCCAGCTTCCCTGGCCTGTGTCCCCGAGGTCAGCAGGCTGTGGGCTGCAGGAAGCTGCAGGCAGGCAGGCCACGCCTCTGTTATTCTCTGTGATCCTGATCCAGAATAACTGCCAACGAAAGCTGAGGTCAAGGGAGAAAGAGGCAGAAGCTGTCAACAGGGAGGGCTGGGGAGGGAGCCTGGAGCTCCGGGACTGGCAGGGGCTGCTCCCGCTCCTGGCTG